ATAGCACCTGGTTTATTTGTTATAGCAATTCGAAGGAAGGTGATTCCCAAAATTGGGACTCGATCCGCACACCCATTGCCTGATGGGCGATAAAACGACGGCATGGCAATGCTGGCAAAGGTTGGCTCGTCGAGGCAAAGCCCTCGGCCCAGCTAACGTGACGGAGCTGGTCGGCTAGTGACGCCGAAGTGTCCGGAGTAGGTTGATGAAGAGATGGCGAAGCCCCCGGTCCGAAATAGGTCGGCGTGAGGGACACCAGCTTGAAGAAGCAATAGTGCGGCCCTGTCGATGCAGGTCGTGACGTGGTCGATGCCGGCTTGATGAAGCGACCGTGCGGCGATGCCGGTATGCCCGCTCCGTGTAATCGTGGGGCGGCGATGTTGGTGATGATTTATCCTTCGCGATGCCGGACTCTTGTTCGGCTTGCCGAGATGATAATCCGAAGAAGTTGAGCTCGGCTAAAGTGACGACGTGTCTAGCGCAGGTCGGCAGCCGTGGAGTAATATTGCCGGACTGGTTTGACACCCACATGATGTTGAAGATCATGTTCAAAAGATTTTAAAATTAGTGGGATGTGTTCAGCAACAAAACACAATACCCCATACAAAACTTCCTTCAAAAGGGATGTCCGAAATCCTGTTCATAAAAAAGATGAACTCGGGTCGGATTCGTTTTCGCGTAGAAAACAGATCCGAAAAGTGATGCACTAATCGGAAGGTTCCCGGAGTTTGGACGGTCGGATCGAGCCGAAATTTTAAGAGGTGGTAGATATAGGAATTCCACAGCCGATCAACGGTTGGATCTTTCAAAGGATGTCCGAGCTAGAAGCTGGACACCACGCCCTAAACTCATCCAAATTTCCGTCCAGATTTGACAGGACTCCGGTATATCGTGGATTGCCAGAGATTCCTCCATCGGAACCCGACGAAATTTTCCAGGGTTGTTGTAGACTCAATTCCGCACAATTCCACCAAAGCGATCGTCAAAGCGATACTCGAGGAGGTGGTGGTGGCAAATACGAGTTCGCTGTCCAGAAAAACAGCACGGTCGTTTGAGGGCAATGTTGACGTTGAGCCTCCGGGCTCCATAGATGATTCCTCTGTGATCTTGATAGAGATCGGAGTTGATGTTTTGATGAAGGCCCTCGTCCGGACATGGTGATCCGAACACGGGGCGCAATTCTTGGTCGAACCAAGGTGACCAGTCGAGCTGGTGACGAAGATGCCGAAGTCGCAGTTGATCTGCAGGCGAGCCATCGATCCTTTTGTCGATCACACAGTGGAACTCTCAATGAAAGCACCAATGTCGGTGTCAAAACCGGCGGATCTCGGGTAGGGGGTCCTGAACTGTGCGTCTAGGCCGGATGGTAACAGGAGACTGGGGACACTTTGTTTTACCCAGGTTCGGGCCCTCTCGATGGAGGTAAAACCCTACTCCTGCTTGATTAATATTGAAGATATGGGTAGTACAAGAGTAGATCTACCACGAGATCAAGGAGGCTAAACCCTAAAACCTAGCCTATGGTATGATTGTGTATAGAGTTGATCCTCTACGGACTACAACCCTCCGGTTTATATAGACACCGGATAGGGTTAGAATTACACAGAGTCGGTTACAATGGTAGGAGATCTTGAATATCGCATCGCCAAGCTTGCCTTCCACACCAAGGAAAGTCCCATCCGGACACGGGACGAAGTCTTCAATCTTATATCTTTATAGTTCAGGAGTCCGGTTGAAGGTATAGTCCGGCTATCCGAACATCCCCTAATCCAGGACTCCCTCAGTTCTTGAAGCTTAGGTCCATTGTGATGCTTAGCCAAAACCTATGCAAGACTGAGAGAAATCTCTTTATGTTCTGAATAATTACCTGTCAGCAGAAGACGTTGTTCTTCAGTGTCGTAGGAGATATCTTTCGAACTGAAAGTTAGCATTTCTTACTCCACGAGGAATGTTACCATTGTGTTCAAAATCCGACCGTTGGAAGCGTGTTGTTCGATCATTGGCTGGTCCGCGTGTCCAATTTTATCATTTTCCATCCGGAAAGGTTGCGGCTATAAATAGCCACCCCGCTCCGACGTAATCCGTTGGCTGCTCCGCTTAAGAATTATGAGAAGATTGATTGAGCAACACCTCTCTCAGAGATTTGAGTTTAAGATCCAGCAAGAGAAAACCAAGAATCAAAACTTAGACAGTGGTTGAGCATCATAGTATATCTGAGCTAGAGTTCTTGTACCTATTACTCTTGAGAAATCGGCCGAATGACTACACGCATAACCAACTCTACTTCCTTTGTGGTGACTACGTGTCTAGTGGTAAATCTGATCCCGTGATCTATTTCCAGCAACATGTTGATTTTTTATTTGACACTAACATAGCGTACCGCGTGTTCCAACAGATGGTGGGGGGGGGGGGCTTCAACCACATTCCCTATACACCTTGTTGGCAGACTTAATCCGTTCACAACCATGTTGTATGCCCCTTTGACTACATAGTACCGAGAGTGCATGGGCCACATGTTCATTCTCTCTCTCCCACACACACACATAGAAGAAAACTAAGCTCATGACAGTCCCAAACCCCCACCAGTAGGGCTGGAAAAAAAGCTCAAGGCTCGTGAGCCGCTCGAGATCAAATCATTTTTTTACTCGTCTCAAAAAAACAAACTGAGTTTGAACACTTTATGTAGCCCGACAAAGGAATGAGCCGATCTTGAGCCAATATTGGCTCGCTCCATTTTAGCTCGATAGCTCGACAGAATATCATGATGTTAAATGATCATGCCACAAATTAAATAGAAATAAAATAATTTGTTACCATATATGTTGTCCATAATTTTTCTCTATTTTATTTACCAGCGAACATGAAAACTTAATTAAGTGCAGAGAAGATTTAGGCCTAATTATGGCGCGTGGTCGACTATGTGTTAATATCTTATTATTTTTTGCAAAGGTTTTCAGCATATTCACCTTAACTTTCTTGTTTTTCATCCATAGATTTATAACTTTTACTATCTCATTTAGCTCAAAACTAGCTCGAGATCAACTCGAGATCGTTATAAGCTCAACATGAATCATGTTCTACAACTCGATCATGAGCTTCACTCAGTTTGAGATCACTCGATTTTTCATATAAGTTGAGCCGAACGACATTAACATGTACGACTACGCCGGGCTATGAGCCAACATACTTCTTCAGCACGGCGCGGCATCGACACTTCGTCGCCACGAGGGACGCCTCCAACGCGACGCATCATTGTCGACACGCCGCTGCAACGCCATCGCCGACACTTCATCGCCAAGGTCTTCATCAACGGGGTCCTCATAAACATTTTCGTCAATGCACCGCCGCCTCGTCCACAAGATGGACACCTAGCTAGCGTCCTTTGACAGACTTTTCTGCAAGATGCGACCTCATCCACAAGATGGACACCTAACATGCATTGACCGCGTCACGACGACGGCAACGACCGTGTCATCCACGACAGCACGACTGCATCGACACGACGTCACTATAGTGACGACCCTACACGGTCACACGGTTCTGGCAAAAACGATGTGTGCTCGATGGGCCTCCTCCGGTCTTGGCAAAACCGGCGGACTCATCGCCGACGGCACCCTCTGACATCCGCAAGGTGCATCGTCCACGTGTGCAGCTCCGTCATAGCGCATTTTTTTGTGCATCCGGCTTTGTGTGGCTTCATCAGCCACGACGACTACACCATCGACCACGACTACATCGACCACGGCTACATCACCATGATCGGCTACCTCGACATCGACATTAATGGCTTGGTCTACAGCAACACATCGGCAACAACTCCAGTCAACAGCGTCCGCGTCGTCACCAGCGTCCAGGCCACTCTCGCTGTGACTGCGGGAGGGAATAGAGGAGAGTCCAGGGAGGCACCAGAAGGGGACGCAGTCACCGTCCTAGGTGCTGACCCATCACCCATTAGAGACGCAGTTGATGATGGCGCAGCGGAGAAAACGACAGAAGCACAATACTTCAAATCCAGTCGTAATCATCCGCTTCACTCCCGCTACGACTGAGGGGGAATGTTAGAATATAAGTTGGGTTAAATATAGAGATAAGGAGTAGAGATTGAATAGGTTTAAACCATGTATTACTTGTCCTCTACTCCAAGACTCTATCCCTCCGTTGTACCTCTATATATACCCCCACAACGGTCAGATCAATAACATACAACAATTATCCTACAATTTCCATAGAGCCAACTCCAACTCGCTCAAGCTCGACTCGTTTGCAGTACCCACCGGTAAGAGTCACAAGTAGGTTTTTTTTTAGAACTAAGAGTCACAAGTAGGTGAAATCAGTAATCGAAGTGCCATTCATGGTGGATCACTCGTAGTGACCACACAGGACTTCGTTTTTCCTTTAAAAAAGGACAAGACATGTCCCACTGAGTTTTTTTTAATATTTTTATGTTAAACATCATGGTCCATTTAGTTGGACCCCATGAATTGGAGTTGTGCGGCCGTGCAAATTAAGCAGGTTCAGCTTCACAGTCTAGCAAGGCAGGTGATAATAGCATCCTGCAACAATAAGAAGGTAGACTGAGGTAAAATGATGCCAATATCTCATACATTCCTTTTTTTTTGAAGTTCTAGGTTTGTCCAAAATCAAACATCTTTAAATTTTATCAAGTATGTAGAAAAATATCACAAATCTTGGCATTGCTTACCTTGAGTTAACTTAACCCGCTGGGTCTCAAAGAATTAAACGATCAGAGCATCGCGCCTTTGACAATCGAGATCTAAGGTAGCCAATCGGAGAGGTATCGAGCATCTCGGTGTGGCGCTTCCCTAAACAGTTTGCGAACTGGCAGAGCATAAGGATATGTTTTGGTAGAGCATGGCCAGTTAGCCACCCCTGAAATATGCCATAACAGACTTTCCAAACAAAAACTTGTCAAGCGTACCGCAAAACCAAGGAACTTCGTCATTTCTAAGAGTAATTTTATCATGAAATTTAGGTTCTCGTCATTCTAAGGCCACCCACAATATGCAAACAATGAGGTCAGATTCGCTTATGCCAGGAAATAGAGGACATCATTTTTGTATTTACTTCTATGAGAGCGTGTCTCGTTAGATATGTTGAGCGACGAATACCCTAACACCATTTTTTGGAGAACGCAGTAACTTCCAAGTATAAAAAACTAACAACTACTCCCTCCATCCTTAAAAGAGTGTACTTCCAACTTTGTTGAAAAGTTAAACTTTTTTATGTTTGACCATATTTATATAATAATACACCAGCATTTATGCCATCAAATTAGTAGCATTAGATTTATGATAAAATATATTTTCATCATATATCCATTTGGTTTCTCAAACATTGATATATTTTTACACAAACTTTGTCAAATTTTGAGATAGTTTAACCCTCCAACAAAGTTAATAGTATGCTCTTTTAAGGACTGAGTGAGTAGAAAGATACCCTTAACTACAATATCATATAGTGGGCGCACCGAGTAAATACCAAGATCAAATCACACTTGTAGGTCAAAGCATCTTCCTCATGACAAAGCACAAACGGATCGAGCGGTGCGCAAGACCACATGCTCATTATCCTCTCACACTGACACACCCTACTATTCTAAAACCAAACCTAAGCTCATCTCATGACCACCGTCTCAAAACATCACCAATCAGTAGGTGTGGTACCGGCTATCCAAGTGCCATTCAGGATGGTCCAGCGCAAACATATTTTTGTGAAAATGCGAAAGACATGGCCCATTGAGTTTTTCTTTTCTTTCCTTCTCTGTAAACATCACATGGTCCATTTTAGTTGGACCCCATGAATTAGAGTTGCGCCAGTGCGCGAATTAAGCGGGTTCGGCATCATAGTCTTGCAGGGCAGTGATGATGATAGCAGCCTACAGCAGTTCATAGCATCAAGAGCGGGACCATCATAAAACGGTGCTAATATCTGCATCTTAGCTCAAAAGCCATAACATTGCTCACCTTGAGTGGAGTACTATGCATCGCGCCTTCGACCATCGAGATCCGAGGGCAGCCAATCGTCGAAGCTTCGAGCACCTCGGTGTCGCGCCTCCCTAAACAGTTTGCAAAATGGCAGAGGATAAGAAGATCTGCTTAGTTACAGTCTCACAGATGATGCTTTGCATCTTAACTCGTTTGTACTATCTTGTATACAAGATGTCACTGTGCATAGATTATCAGCATAGCCCCAGTAGCACGTGCCTGCTCCATTGTTTGAAACTACACTACTGTGTAGCCTGGGCAGATTGTTCTGAGAAGAGTGAGCCAGCCAGCCATGTCCATGTGGCCACACAGAGTTTTCTGAGTTCTCTGTGGGAGCTGGGCTCACTGAGACGAACGAAGATCAATGTGGGGACCTTGGAATCTTGAGAAAAATCTTCTCTCTAGGAGAACGCAGCGCAACGCCAATGCAACAGTCAGAAAGGCAGGCATCCAATGCATCCATCCGTCCTTCCTCTGATTTGCCAAAGAGCACGTGATGCGACGGGCCTAATTAGACGGATTTATTTAATTACGCGGTGAGCATCCGGACACATTTGGCTCTCCGGTGCTGCCGTCGAAATCAACATGGCGCTGCGACTTTGTTCGCATCCAATGAATGTGGATACTGGAGCATGTTCATGAACCGAAGTGGGCAAACGTTTCTGACGAAAATGGTCCCGGGTTTGGAAAATTGCTGAAGAAAATGAACACCTAGAGATAAGAAGGAAAACATTGCGCATTTGTAGTACTGTATATCATACAAGTGTCTTATGCTCTCAACTTATGCAGTGGGACACTCACGGCCTATTCCCAGATGCTCCTGTTTCCTGGCCTAGAAGAACTATCCCCGTCTCCGCAGATTATTGACAACACTGTCGAATTCCTACTTCCCCAGAATCCGAAGTTCCAACGTTATGACTTATGAAACCACTCTACATTTTTTGAACCTTTGTCTTCTGGAGCCCTCTTAGCTTAGCTAGGTCAATGGTTTGCCATTAGCATGGCTATTCTTGTGACAGTGTGTGACACCCAATCCTTCCTGACAAAAAGCAAGGTTTCGACAATCATCAAGTAAACTAATAATCTCCTAAAGGCACCACCTTCAAATCCACCATCAACGGGACCATGCCAATGACGTACCACCACGAAATTTTACTCCTACTTGAAAATCGTCCCTCTTGTGAACCCTACACAGGAAAAAATGCACAGGGCACAGTGCAACAGCACATGCCACATGGAGGAGCTTGTTCTTGATGGCGCCATCAAAGGCCTTCAGTATCGTCTCAGGGACTGCAGTGACACCAAGCCCCGTCACTCGAGGGGGTAGCATGTGCAGTCCACATGGAACACACCAAAGGTATATATACTACTACCAGCGTCCAGCGGAACAAGAGGCCCGTCATAATTTTTGACAAATGCAAAAGCCTCAGGACGGACTTTGCAAGCAAAGAGAACGTTGAAAAGGGCCAAACCAGAAAGCAACAACCATGTAGTATGTGAGTGAGGGGATTTAAAAGCAGACGCACCTTAGTCATGAAATTATTTGCTGAATGAAGACCGCCGTTTTACCTGACGAGAGTTGTCGGCATCCCCGTCATTTTATTGTTCTCCTTTTGTGTGTGTGTGTTAGCCCTCAAAAGGTACTAACTAGTAGTATCCTGAAGAAGAAAAGGCATACCTTCACTGAGCAATAACAACAACAGAGGAGAGATCTCAGAATAAGTAGTGCAGGAAAAAAGGATGCTGATATTCAACATAGTTGTGATCCTTTACTTTCCTAATCTGAATAGAACTACTGCTAAATAAAGGCACACGGTTGAGATATAATTGAGAATGATACCCGTAAAGTATTATAGGAATCATAGTTGTGCCTGGCAATGTATCATGTGTGTGTCTGAAATAGCCTTTCCACATGTCATTACTCATGACATAGAGTCAAGCTTGCTCTTTTGCTCAGGCGATGCTCGGAAATTTTAATGGAAAAACTGCTTGCTAACCAGATTGGAGACAGAACACCCCTCAACTTTTTCTGTCTCAGCAGGCTAATGCAACATATAAAAGCAACAGTTTAAATCTAAAATTGGTTCAAAGAGGGAGTACTACTACATGTACATGTAAAAATGCCAAAATAAGGCCAAATAAGGAGACATTTCTTCAAACTGATCATGCAAAAATGCCAATTCATTTGCATGTACATGCATGCGCCACTTGGACTTCACTGAAGCACAAGAAAATCAGAGTTGCAAACTTTCTTCATCAATCAAACCAACTCATTACAGACAAAACACAACTCTAAGCATGCCCCATCTCTACATCCAGCCCATACGTCCATACCATAGGTGATCAACTACGTCTTAACTAAGGGGATACTTCATCGCAGCCTGAAGATCTCTGTCATAACAAAATATTTCTTCAAGAGCAAGGAAAATAAATGTTTTTATCCTGAATAAAAGCCTACAACTGAGAATTTATGGGTTCCATTTGAACTACAATGAACATATTACAATAGGGGGAAGAAAGATATTCAAACATTCCATTCAGGTCCGGTGTCATGCTGAAGTTGCAGCGGCATGGCTAGGCTCCAGCAGCAAGGAAGCCACCTTGTTTTTCTGTTTTTTCAGCCATCTTGCTATGCGACTTGACAAGATAATAATAAACAGAAGGTACACCAGCACACAACATACTACCACGAGGATGAATATTGAAGTCCTGAACTTTCTGCAACTTCCAGCTGCATAAGCTGTCATCAGAGCCGACAGGTCCAGTATCATGATGAAGTGCAATGCTTGGAGCGGAACCTTCTTCTGTCTCACAGATTTACTCAGCAGAAGCATGACTACAGAAATAGATGACATGAAAGAGATGGAATTGAAGACATAGAATACCATGTAGCGCCAGGAGTTTATGTCCTTAAGTACCGGGTTGCCAGCCTTGTAACCATTTTTGGGAGTGTCATCAGGCCAGAAGCCACCAGGCGGGTTTAGACCAGCTTGGTACGCAATGGATGCAGCAAGAACCGAAAGAAGCATCAAGTACTTCTGTCTCTTCTTTTCCCTCTTCTCACTAATAAGGGTGCCTGACCCCTGAGCATTTCTTTCCGTGTTTTCTTCATCTGAACTTTCCAGCGGTGTCTCAGAGTCAGGCTCTAGATGAAGAATCTTCCGCAACCGACCCCTTAACCTGGTCAGTGGCCCATCTAATGCATCTTGTAGTACAAGTACTTGAATCACAAGGCATGTTAGAGCTGCAGAGGCTATGACAATAAGATATATTACCGGTCTCGCTTTGCTGCAGGTTCCTGCAGAATAGGCAATCAGGAGGCCCAGCAAACCCGCTACCAAGCACGCACGGATTGCGTACGACTTGATTCCATCCTCACATGATTCCCTATTAACAAGAAGAATGATGACAGCCACAGATGACGCAAATGAGACAGCATTGGAGTAGTAGAAAACATCATAGCGCTCTGGGTGGCTGTCTTGAAGAACTGGATTGCCTGGTTTGCCACCCTTACTGTTCTCATCAGGCCAAATGCCTCCTGGCGGGTTCAGGCCAGCTTGGTACGTGACAGTTGCCGCCAGAATTGCAAGAATAAAGAGCAAATTCCGCCTCCGCGCCAAGTCCTTCTCCTTAGCATCTCTTGACTCATTATCTGTCTGAGGTGGTGCAAACTTCATCCTCTGGGTAACACACACTTTCAACCATCCATTATGCCTAAACACTAAAACATGGAGAAGGACATATGCAACCACGATAAATATCGACACTGATATGTAAATAGATTTTGTCTTCTCCCTGCAACTCCCAACAACAAAGGCCCCCATTAGAGCAAGCAAATCGGTTATCATTGCTGTCTGCAGTGCCCGGCGTTTTATAACCTTGTTGCTCATCTTCCTGCTCAGGAGCATAAGGATCATGACAAGGGAGGCTGCAAATGCAGTGGCATTGAAATAAAAGAAGGCAAGGTATCTCTTATGATAACTGTCCTCAAGAATGGGATCACCAGCAGAGTGCTTAGTGCCACCTGATGTCCAGACACGACCACTGTCCCCAAGAATGGGATCGCCAGCAGAGTGCTTTGTGGCATTTGATGTCCAGAAGCCACCTGGTGGATTTAAACCAGCTTGATATGTCAAAGACACGGCAAGAATTGCAAGAAGCAATAGGTAAGTGCGTGACTTCTTCAGAAAAGCATCATCTGGATTTCTACAGCTGCATTTAATACATCTCTGATGCTGTGGGGCTTGATCATTGGCAGTGTTGTCGATCTCTAATCTAACATCACGATCATCTGCACTAGTAGGGTTATTGGACATTTGCTGACCATGCTGTTCTGTGCTGTCCCCATGGCTGTCGGGTAATTCACATCCCATTGCCGGATCATCAGCATCCATCCTCAGGTTACCAGATGTTGCATTTTCGTCCACCGAGCCCTGCAACGGTAAAATACCTTGGATAGAATTTCCACCGTCACTTGATGATAGTGCCATGGGGATTGCAACCTGCTGACTGCCAGCAGGTTGTATTTCCAAGTTGTCCGATGGAACTTCCTCGGTAGTTAGGGCATCTGTTGATGATGAGCATACAACTCTAATTGCAGCATGTTCACTCTGATCATGAGATTGATGTAGTGTTGTTGGCATGATGTCCTCCATGCTATCCAAATCACTGGCTGATACAGATCTCATATCTCCAGTTGATACAAGATCGCTGTCAGCAGAGTAGCACTGCAAATTCGACATGACACCTTCTACTTCTGTATCTCGAACTACATGCTCTGTAGCTTGCTGGTGAGTTGTCGGAGAATCAAGCTCTGTATCTTGCTGGCGAACCCTCTGAGAGTCAAGTGCTGTATCTTGCTGCTGACTTCTCTGAGAGTCAAGCTCTGTATCTTGTTGGTGAATCCTCCGAGAATCAAGATCTGTATCTTGCTGGTGATTTCTCTGAGAAACAAGCTCTGTATCTTGATGGTGAATCCTCTGAGAATCAAGATCTGTATCTTGCTGGTGATTTCTCTGAGAAACAAGCTCTGTATCTTGATGGTGCCTTCTCTGACAATCTGTACATTGCTGGTGAGCTCTTGGAGAATCATCTTGCCCCAATGACAGCATCCTCAGCATTTTGCCAAGTGCTGGCTTCAGCTCCTCATCCACCCACACCGTTACAGCTTTGCAATGAAGGCAAATAACAAGAATCAGAACACAGATTAGAACCACAGCAATTATGAGTATCACTGACAACGATGTTGCAACATCCCTGCAGCTCCCTGAAGCATAAGCACCAATGAGCCCCAGCAGAACAGCCACGACGCACACAGACAGCGCTTGAGTCCTTATCCCATGCGTGCTCAGTTCCGTGCTCAGAAGCAGTATGACTGTGACCAAAGACGCCACAAAAGAGGTCGCATTGCAACACGTGAAGATATTGAAGCGGAGGAGGTTGTGCTTGCGGAGAACAAAAGTGGCTGCACGGTGTTCAGGATTATTTGCACCCCAAAAGCCACCAGGTGGACTTATCCCAGCTTGGTATGTGATAGTAGCAGCAAAAGTTGCAAGCATCAATATGAACTTGCGAGCCTCCTCGATCTCCCTTGCGTAATCTCGGTTGCTCCTTTGCCTGTCAGGATCAGAGACAGGGCAAATAGATGGCACCTTTTTTAGCATGCGTTTCAGCTTCTTCAGAATGAGATCCTGGGTTTTCTGCACCTGATCTTTTAACGGCTGTGGAACTGCCCTCATAAGCAACAGGATATGAACCACAACATAGACGAAAACAGAACAGACCAGCACCAATATGTAAACGGAAGACCTTAGTGCTCTGCAACTCCCCGCGGCATATGCCCCCATGAGACTGAAAAGATCCAGTATCATGGTAAACTGCATCGAGCGAAGCCAGACATGCTTGCTCGCCACTCCCCTACTCAGGAGCAAGATGATCAAGACCAGAGAAGCAGCAAAGGCTGTGGCGTTGCAGTAAAAGAAGGCTTGGTATCGCTGGAAGAATCTAAGCGGGAGGAGAGGATCACCGGCATGGCGGTCAAGTCTGTCCATCTGAAATCCCCCCGGCGGGCTCAACCCAGCATTGTAAGTGACACCAACGGCCAACACCGCCAGAAGTAGCAGATACTTCCGCAACCTCCACAAGAACTCGAAATCAACCTTGATGCTGGATTCATGGCTTGCTGGCCTGTTGGGCGGACCTTGCCCATTGTTGTTGCCGGCCGCCTCGATATCCTCCGTCACTCCGCTGGCGGCTGCTTCATCTGCCGTCTGGCCATTGCCTGGCCTCGAAGCAGCCATGCCGTTCATCGGCATGGTGGCCGGCTCAGGCTGCTCGCTGTTCGCCGTGTGAGAGTTCCCCAGCTGAGGCTGCATGTGTGAGCCGCCCTCACTCATGGCATGAGCTTTGAGCTTGTACCCAGATCAGGGTAACTATAGTAAGATTAACTGCAAGAGGAGAAATGGCAGAAAATTGGCACTGGAACTTATGTATCCATGTCGAAGAGCCGAACACAGCAAGAGAGAGTAAGGATCATACCTAGAATGGGGAAGCTTCGCAATGCTCAGTTGCTCAGTCGGAATGGCTGCTCCGTTAGCCTAGCTGCCGTTGCGGCTTTGAGCTTGTATCCAGAGCGACGGCTGCTGCTCAGACCAGTGAGGGACTGCTTCAAAGACAGCCGAGTTCAATAATGGTGTGAACGGTGGTGTGGACAGTGAACAACAGATGGGGGGAGACCGGCGAAGTCAGTTAAACAAAGGAAAGAAATAAGGTAAGACCCCACAGCAAAGTGTACTACTCCCTCCATTCCACAATGTAGTGCTTCCTCTATCCACGTGCTTTAACTTTGACCGTAAATTTAACTATCAAGACCGATTGCGGCGGGGGCAAAAGTTATATCAGTGAATTCGTATTCGAAAGAAGTTTTTAATTATGTAACTTTTTCTCCCGCCGCAGTCGGTCTCGTTTGTTAAATTTATGGTCAAAGTTCGACCTCGGGAAGCGTGGACGCACTATATTTTAGAATGGAGGGAGTATCAGGCTATCATCTCATGGCATATTAGGTTGGAGTTGGACCCAGTCATATCAAGGAACACGCATCTCCTCAGGATCGAGGGGATGGGATACATGCATATACGATCTCCTCAGGAGAAGGACCAGTTTGGAGTTAGAAGAGAGCCAAACACACCAAAAAATAATGAACAAATTAACACGCATCTCAACTGTAAAATACTCCGGCATCGAGCTGGGTTGCTGAGTAGTAATTTGGTTTGGAACACATGAATAAGCAGGAATCAGCCAGTAGGGTACCTTGTATCAGGGGGCGGTCAAATGGAATCTGTGGACAGCGATGGTAAGCGGAGAGGGTGTGTTGACTGCTGACTGCCACACGACCACCACACACACCGTGGGTTCACACCGGCGTTCGGAAGCCACCTTGACAGGAACGTCCTACCGTCGTCGTCCACTCGGCTCCGGCGAAGTCACCTCCGACCTCCGACCTCCTCGGCGCCTCGAACGTCGCCGTTTTTTGACATTTTCGCTCCGGCGTGCAACACCGTTCCGTGGAGCGGCCATCGCCGCTCGTGACTTGGTCTTGGCTCTTCTCCGGCCATTAACTGCCGTGCCGTAGATAGGTACTGGGCGCTGAGGCATTTGTTCGAACACCAGTCGGCCACTGCTGGGGCGAGCAGAGCCGGGCTGGGCAGCCGCAGCCAGGGCCTAGATCCGTCGTTGGGCGCCTTATCCTGACACACCTAGAGAGAGCGTGCATTCGTCCCGTCCCGTCCCACTGGCGCTGGCCGCTGGGGGGCCCGTCGACGACGGCAGGGGCGTTCCAACCCCCTCTGGCCATCCAACCCCCCTGGATCGCCGGGCTCCTCGACTAGTCATTTTGTATCCTACCTGACGTCACGAGAAAATTAGGGAATGACGTCACGTAAACAGGTTTTCATAGGCTCCATCCACCCAGTTTAACTCTGACATCTACCTGTTCCGAACTAATTAACTCCCCCCTCCCCTATTTTTTTTCTTATTGGTCCACCTGTTACATTACGTAAAACATTGTAAGTTTTTTTTTTTGAGGTAAGTAAAACATTGTAAGTAGTCCTACGTACGTGTAGCATTACCCCTTGGCGGTGAGTCCTGGCCATGGGCAGCCCGGCCCGATCCGACGCTGCATTCGGACCAGGCCCGGGCCCGCCGTTTTCACGATTTACTGAAGGGGCCCGGCCCGTGGCCCGAGGTCCGGCAGGCTTTATCACTTTCGGGTCGGGCTTGGGCCCAGAAACTAGGCCCGATGTCCAGGATCGGGCCTAGGTTTTCTGCCTCGGGTTTTGGTAGGCCTGACCCGGACCGACAGATGGTCAGGTATAGCGGTGACCCTTAATCTTACATCGTATACAAGGATAAATCTATGGACCTGGGAGCCCGACATCTAGATCTATCCTCTGAATGTCTGCTAGTATGCGCGGCAATCCGTGAAAAAAAATGGATTTTATGTCCTGTCGGAGCGGCAATCTGAACCTCCACACTCAATTTGCCGTCGTCGTTGCCTCGACCGCCGCCACCTTCTTGGTCATCTCCTCCGTCCTCTCCAACTAATCCTTCTACCGCTTTAACATCTTGAAACAGATGGCTTGCGATCATCCTTGCATCGTCATCTAAATCCTCCATCTTCAAGGTCAACATCTCTATCCTTCCAAGCGGTTGCGGTCTCAACCTTCTCTTTGAGCACAGTCTTCCTCTCTTCGAGCTTGAGCTTCTTCTCGGTCGCCGGCATCAACATGTTAAATCTATCGTACTTGTTTTCTTCTTGACGTTAGAGCACTTGAAGTATGCCTCCTTCGCCAACATGTCCTCGAATCTCTCCTCATCTTGGCCGCCGCCCCTTCTCGCTTTGCCTTCTTCTCCCACTTCTTTCTTTGGAACCCTCTTCTAACCTTCTTGTGCAGTTCTTTTGTTGGGTCTGTTGGATCATCGATTTCTTCCTCGGCGCCACGGGCGATGATCTTGGCAATGAATATATTCCACTTGGGTTGTCCATTCAACTTCAACCAACAATGCATGACAGTGAAGCTCTTCTTCTGCAACTTCAAGAACACATTGCATGCATAGGAAGACTACAAAATAAAACATTGTCAAATGACTATAAATGAACAACACAAGAATGCATATCCGACCAACAATGTGCATATCTGGTCAAGTGAAGAACACAACAATGCATATCTAACCAAGTGACCAACACAACAATGCATATCCGACCAACAATGTGCATATTCGGCAAAATGACCAACACACCAATGCATATCCAGACAAATGACCAACACAACAATGCATATCCTGAAGGAAATATGCCCTAGAGGCAATAATAAAGTTGTTATTTTATATTTCCTTATTCATGATAAAGGTTTATTATTCATGTTAGAATTGTATTGATCGGAAACCTTGATACATGTGTGAATACATAAACAAACACCGTGTCCCTAGTGAGCCTCTACTAGACTAGCTCATTGATCAAAGATGATTAAGGTTTCCTAACCATGGACATGATTTGTCATTTGATAACGGGATCACATCATTAGGAGAATGATGTGATGGACAAGACCCATCCGTTAGCTTAGCATTTGATCGTACAGTTTATTGCCACTACTTTCATGTATGTCAAATACATATTCCTTTGACTATGAGATCATGCAACTCCCGAATACCGGAGGAATACCTTGTGTGCTATCAAACATCACAACGTAACAAGGTGATTATAAAGATGCTCTACAAGTATCTCCAAAGGTGTTTTGTTGGGTTGGTGTGAATCCAGATTAGGATTTGTCACTCCGAGTATCAGAGAGGAATGTCTGGGCCCTCTCGGTAATGCACATCATAATAAGCCTTGCAAACAAATGACTAATGAGTTAGTCATGGGATGATGTATTACTAAATGAGTAAAGAGACTTGCCGGTAACGAGATTGAACTAGGTATGAAAATACCAACGATCGAATCTCGGGCAAGTAAGATACCGATGGACAAAGGGAATAACGTATGTTGTCATAACAGTTCGACGGACAAAGATCTTCGTAGAATATGTAGGATCCAATATGAGCATCCAGGTTCCGCTATTGGTTATTGACCGGAGAGATGTCTCGGTCATGTCTACATAGTTCTCGAACCCGTAGCGTCCACACGCTTAATGTTCGATGACGATTTTGTATTATATGAGTTATGTGATTTAGTGACCGAATGTTGTTCGGAGTCCCGGATGAGATCATGGACATGACGAGGAGTCTCAAAATGGTCTAAAGGTAAATATTGATATAAAGGACAATAGTATTCGGACACTAGAGGTGTTCCGGAGGGTACCGGGTACATATCGGGTCACCGGAAGGGGTTCCGGGCATCCCCGGCAAAGATATGGGCCAAGAGGGAAAACACAGCAGCCAGCAGGGGCTGCTGCGCCCCCATATGGGCCGAACCAGAGTAGGAAGGAAAGAGGGGAAGAGAGAAGGAAGGGGAGGGATTCGGCCTCCCCCTTCCTTCCCTCCTCCCTCCTCCTTCCTTCCCCCTTCGAAAAATATGGTAAGGGGGGCCGAATTGGACTAGGCCCCTAAGTAGGATTCCTCCTACTTGGGGCGCCCCAAGGCTATTCCCCCTCCCACCTATATATATGTGGGGAGGAGGCGCCTAGAACGCACACCAACAATCGTTAGCCATGTGCGGCACCCCCCTCCATAGTTTACACCCACCGTCATAGTTTCGCGGTGCTTAGGCGAAGCACTGCATGGATCACTTCGCCATCACTATCACCACGCCATCATGTTGACGGAACTCATATACTTCCTCGACACCTTGCTAGATCAAGAAGGCGAGGGACATCATCGCACTGAACGTGTGTAGAACTCGGAGGTGCCGTACGTTCGGTACTTGATCGGTCGGAGCTAGAAGAAGTTCGACTACATAAACCGTGTTGTCAAATGCTCCCGCTTTCCGTCTATGAGGGTACATAGATACACTCTCCCTCCTCGTTGCTATGCATCTCCTAGATAGATGTTGCATGAGCATAGGATTTTTTTGAAATTGCATGCTTCATTTCCCAACAGTGGCATCCAAAGCCAGGTCTATGCGTAGATGATATGCACGAGTAGAACACAAAGAGTTGTGGGCGGTGATCGTCATACTGCTTAAAACCAATGTCTTATTTTGATTCTACGGTATTGTTGGATGAAGCGGCCCGGACCAACCTTACATGACCACGTTCATGACACCGGTTCCATCGACAGACATGCAACTAGTTTTGCATAAAGTTGGCTGGCGGGTGTCTGTTTCTCCAACTTTAGTTGAATCAAATTTGACTGCTACCGGTCCTTGTTGAAGGTTAAAACAACAAACTTGATAAATCACTGTTGTGGTTTTGATGCGTAGGTAAGAACGGTTCTTGCTAGAAGCCCGTAGCAGCCACGTAAAAGTTGCAACAACAAAGTAGAGGACGTCTAACTTGTTTTTGCAGGGCATGTTGTGATGTGATATGGTCAAGACATGATGTGATATACGTTATTGTATGAGATGATCATGTTTTGTAAAAGTCACTGGCAACCGGCAGGAGCCTTATGGTTGTATCTTTATTGTATGAAATGCAAACGCCATGTAATTGCTTTACTTTATCACTATGTGTTAGCGATAGTTGTAGAAGCAATAGTTGGCGAGACGACCACAACGCTACGATGGAGATCAAGGTGTCAAGCCGGTGATGATGGAGATCATGACGGTGCTTTAGAGATGGAGATCAAAGGCACAAGATGATGATGGCCATATCATGTCACATATTTTGATTGCATGTGGTGTTTATATTTTATGCATCTTATTTTGCTTAGTATGGCGGTAGCATTATAAGATGATCCCTTAACTAAATTTCAAGGTATAAGTGTTCTACCCGAGTATGCACAGTTGTGATAGTTCGTAGTGCCGAGACACCACATGATGATCGGGTGTGATAGGCTCTACATTCACATACAACGGGTGCAAGATAGTTTGGCACATGCGCAATACTCGGGTTAAACTTGACGAGCCTGGCATGTACAGACATGGCCTCGGAACATTGGAGACCAAAAGGTCGAACGTGAATCATATAGTAGATATGATCAACATAGAGATGTTCACCATTGATGACTACTCCATCTCACGTGATGATCGGACATGGTTTAGTTGATTTGTATCACGTATCATTTAGATGACTTGAGGGATGTCTATCTAAAAGTCCAACTAATCCCCGGGTGGTTTTGGTAATTCATAACAACATATAGCTCATTGAACTAGCTAATATCCATTCAAGTTGATTATTTCAGAAAGTTCAATGATTGGCATGGCATGGACTAGAGATGTGGACCCCTCAAAATGCTAAGGACAAATATTGGCAAAAGCTCAAGACTCTTCATTTCTATTTTAGTGATCCAAGATCACATTGAGTGCATAGGAAAAGCCAATACTATTAAAAGGGGATGAGGTGTTGCTTAGTGGTCTACTTGCTCAAAATGCTTAGTGATATGCTCCAAAGCCCTCAACCACTCTCTCAAATCCAAATATTTCCTAAACCTAAAGTCAAACTCGGCCCCACCGATTTGATCCATCCGGCGCCACCGAGTTCCTTTGACATAGCCATAGCTAGAAACCCTAATCATTTCGGTCTGACCGATAGGGATTTCGGTCTCACTGAGATGGGATTGTAAACTCTTTGTTTCCCTTCGTAATGTTTCAATCTCACTGAAATGAGCGATTGGTCCCATCGAGTTTGCAATGCAAACTCTTTGTTTCCCTTTTGTAACGTTTCAATATCACCGAAAGGAGCGATCGGTCCCACTGAGTTTGCCTGACCAACTCTCCGTTTACTTACTACTAAAATCGGTCTCACCGAGTTTATGTAATCAGTCAAACCGAGATGACGTTTTACCCTAACCCTAGCACATTGGTCCCATCGAGTTAATCATGTCGGTCCCACTGAGAATCCTAATGTTCACATTTTGAACTGAATCGGTCTCACCGAGTTCACTTATTCGGTCTGACCGAGTTGGGTCAAATGTGTGTAACGGTTAGATTTTGTGTGGAGGCTATATATACCCCTTCACCTATATTCAAGAGAGAGCCATTAGAACATGCCTACACTTCCACTACTCATTTTCTAAGAGAGAACCATGTTGATACCAAGACATTCCAATCCAACCACAAGAATCTTGATCTCTAGCCTTCCCCAAGTTGCTTTCCACTCAAATCACCTTTCCACCATAGCCAAATCTGAGACAGAGTTAAGTGTTGGGGAGACTATCATTTGAAGCACAAGAGCAAGGAGTTCATCATCAACACACCATCTATTACCTTTTTGAGAGTGGTGTCTCCTAGATTGGTTAGGTGTCACTTGGGAGCTGAGGGAGTCCTGGACTAAGGGGTCCTCGGGTGTCCGGCCTGTTGGCTATGGACCGGACTGATGGGCTGTGAAGATACGAAGACCGAAGACTGTACTCATGTCCAGATAGGACTCTCCTTGGCGTGGAAGGCAAGCTTGGCATCGAATATGTAGATTCCTTTCTTTGTAACTGACCTTATGTAACCCTAGATCGTCCCGATGTCTATATAAACCGGGGGACTTAGTCCGGATAGAGGATATTCATTATCATAGCCATACACGCTAGACCTCTAGGGTTTTAGCCATTACGATCTCGAGGTAGATAAACTCTTGTAACACTCATATTCATCAATATCAATCAAGCAGGACGTAGGGTATTACCTCCATAGAGAGGGCCCGAACCTGGGGAAACATCGTGTCCCTTGTCTCCTGTTACCATCGATCTTAGACACACAGTTCGGGACCCCCTACCCGAGATCCACCGGTTTTGACACCGACATTGGTGCTTTCATTGAGAGTTCCACTGTGCTGTCGCTAAAAGGTTTGATGTCCCCTTCAATCATCCATAATGACGCTATCCAAGGAGAAACTTTCCTCCCCGGACAGATCTTCGTGTTCGGCGGCTTCGCACTGCGGGCCAATTTGCTTGGCCATCTGGAGCAGATCGAAAGCTACGCCCCTGGCCATCAGGTCAGATTTGGGAGCTTGAATTACGTTGCGGACACCCGTGGAGACTTGATCTTTGCTGATTCGAGACCGCGGTAGCCGCTCCCGGTCGCCCCGATGATCATGACCTAAATCTATCATCAGGCTGCATCTGGGAGATTGCTCCTATAACCGCTCTGGCCCTAGATTCGGAGCAAGCTGCGCCACCCAAGGACGGGAGGATCAACCCCACCACGGAGGCCACAGATTCCACAATGTTGGAGCCGCATATAGACTTAACCTCTCACGAATGTCTCTGTCAGTGGAACTCCGGACTCGTCTCCAGCCGTAAGTTCCGAACCACATGAGGCCGCGGACGCCGAGCTTGATCGTTTATCGATCTTCGAATTCAGCGCCGCAGACATCTTCTAGAACTCGCCTTTGGGCGATGTGCTAAACTCATTAAAGAACTTGTCCTTGGCGGAGGACTCACAGCCGAACTATATCCGGCTCGAACTAGGGGCTGACGGTGGAGAATTTTGCTTCCCACCCGCCACCCACTTCATAGCCATAGTCGAGGATCTGACCGACGAACTTGACTACGACTCCGAGGACATCGACGGTATGGACGACAATGTCAGATAAGAAGAGGCCCAGAACCCGCCGTTCACCGGACGCTGGACGACCACTTCCTTGTATGATGTATACATGGTGGATGCACCAAAGGAGATCATCGGCGATGACAAGAAAGATCCGGTTGTGGATAAACCTTCCGATATACTATCCAAGCGTCGGCGTCAGCAGCGCCGCTCTAAGTCACGCAGCAGTAAAGACAGCAGTACCGGCACAGGAGAAGACAACACTCCAGAAGGTGCCGAAGACAACGAAGACCCCGTCGGTACAGTTAATGAACAAGATGAACAGGAGGGCGGGCAGGTTAGCCCCGGTAAACAGGCCACACATGACGATTCGAAGGACGATAACTACCTTCCGCTCTCCGAGGACGAGGTGAGCCTCGGCACCAAGGATTTCATCGTGCTTGAGGAACCTCTTGAGCAGGAGCGCTTCAAGCGCCAGCTAATTGCCACTGCAAGGAGCTTGAAAAAGAAGCAGCAACAGCTTCAAGCTGACCAAGATCTTCTCAATAATAAATGGACCGATGTCCTAGCAGTTGAAGAGTACGGCCTCAAGCGCCCAACCAAAAGCTACCCAAAGCGCAAATTGCTACCTCAGTTTGACGAGGAGGCGCCGAACTACATACCTCCATCGTACAATGCGGCTGACCGACCACCACATGGTCGAGACAAAACGACAACTCACGCCAAACACCAGCCAGCCCCGCCTTGGCACACAGGCAGAGGTAAACCAGCCCAGGGGCATACATATGACCTCCGGCAAACCCTGAACAATAAACCATGACACACTA